GGAAGAATTCCCATCCCCCTCTTCACTGAGTAGCAATAGATACTGTCAGGAAAAAGTTAAAATTTAACTAACAGCTAAAACAGAAACCACAGGCCAAGCAGGACAAACCCTCCCTTCACAGCCCACGGGATATCTGTAAGCACTCATCCCTACCCCACCTATCCTCCTCCTTCCCCCGCAAGGTAGCCATAGATGCTTGATGCAATAGGATGACCTCTATATGTACATACTGTTCTTATTTTTATCTTTGTTTAGGATTCTCTCTTGACTTGTAACAATGTTTGTCTCTGTACGTACAGATAAATGCAAATGAACTGATAAGAAGATGTATATAACTGGCCACTATGGCACCATATTTTCGAAGCTGCTTGTCAGTCTTCCCAGTACTGTGAATAAACCCCCTTCAGTATTGTCTGTGCCTGCCTGATTCTTGGGGAAAAGAAACCTTTTGCTGAACAGTTTTGGCGCAGAGAGCAGGGTGTGATCGGGAATCCTTGGAGAGTTTCTCTCAACCAGGGAGAGAGGTGCCACTTACCACCTCTAGTGCACACCTTGGTTCGGGACTCCCCGAGGCACCCCTCCACACCCCTTTTTTCATACAAACCACATATAGGATGCACAGGCAAGAGGACTGAACGGGACTGTGTTTGTGGCCAAGATTATTGGGGTGCAGGGATCGCTGAAGGCGAAGGCTGCATCGCCAAGTACTGAGCACAAGGGTGTGTGCTGCAGTAAACAGTACAAGGGTGTGCTCAGTCAGTCTCCCCTGAAGCGCCGCTGAAGTGGGTTTCAGGAAGCTGGGATACAATGCCTTATGAATTGCCCCAGAATGTGTCAATGATACCTTCCACGGGGGAGGGGAGGAAGGGGGGGAGACTCATTGGCATACCCCAGGGTGCACCAATGATAGCCTATAAAGGAGGGAGACTCATTGACTGGCCCCGGGGAACATCAGTGATGCCCTCCATGGGAGGGAGACTCATTGATTTTATAAAAGGCAAACATGAGAAAGTTCAAAAGATGGATGGAATGAAGGTACGAGTACGATGAATAGCGAGTTGTGGTGGTCTGGTCAGATGAAAGGAAGATTAGGGAAAGGGATCCTAATAATGTATTGCAAATATGAAAGAAAATTACAAGAGTTGGAAACACTCCAAAAAGCTCTTATATCAGAGCTGAATCAAAAGGCAGATTGCAGCCGCAAGCTCAACAAGCTTGAAGCAGAAAACAAGGCTCTAAAAGCAAAACTAAAAAACAACAACTCCTCTGCACGTTGTATTGTTGCTAGCATACAACGCAAGGGTACTTTTTACTGACCCAAGCAGCGATACTCATAAAGACCAAAACAAAACTATTGGAAACACCATGAGAAAAAATTCAAAATTGGAACCCGGCACACATGGGAGAAGATCAAGATAATTGGCCTCCTCCTCCTCCTCCCCCCCGGCTTTTAACCTCAAATTAAGTGCCAGTGTTCCCTTGGCCCCTTGCCAAGTGACCACTTGGTGGTCAGGGACAGGTGAAAACAGAGTGGCTTGTAATACTTATAAGGACACGCCTCTCAGCACAGAGGAAATGAGGGGCTTACTGAAAGATCTCCCTGATCTAAGCCCAAAGACCCATATTCGATACTCTGGAAAAGAATAAGCCAGATGGTTACCACCTATATGTTACATCCCAGGGATCTTTATATCTTAACAAAAGGTAAATGCCCCGATCTATCATGAGCCACAATCCCTACACAAGGACACCAAAATGGTGTTTGGGCCTCTGTTAAATTTGAATCTCAAAATGATATGACCCGTGCCTGCACTGAGTTTAAGGAAGCCGTCCAAGAAGCCTTGGGGAACTGAGCTGGTAACTGGGGACTGATCCTGGGCTGCGTACAATGCAAGGATGAGCCTGCCTCTCAATATTGTGAGAGAAAATGGAAGATGTATTCCAGCAATTTGCAGGGATTGCGGACCCAAAGAAAACGGATCAGGCATTTTAAAAGATTTTAAAGGAAGGTTTTAACTCCCACCTACAAACAGCCCTTAATTTGGGAGTGAACCCAGGCCATGATTATGAATCCTTGGGCCTCTGAATGTGAAGCCAGACAGCCCAAAGAGATAAAGAGCAAGTCTACTTGCATTGCCATGGTAACAGAAAAAGATAATGTAAACTGTTATAATTGTGGATGTTTTGGACATACCCAAAAGAACTGCAAATGCAAAACCCAAAAGCCTAGTCAGGGACAGAATCACGACCAGTTGACTCCCTGAAGCACCTCACTGCCCTTACAATCTGGTTCTGGTCCAGTTCCCACCCTCCCCGCCCCTTCCTCACAGTGTTTTGCATCTGGGGAACCGGACATTGGGCAACTGAATGCCCAAGCCCTGGGCAACCGGCCTCAACCGGTATCTCAACCAGCTGCCAACCCTTACTCACACCTGAGTAAAGAGGAAATGACCAGGCTTTTAAATTCCATGGCCTGCTAGGATCCAGCGCCCTCCCTCCGGCCCCCTTTCCTGTCAGTACTGCTGATGCAGATATAAATCCCTCAAGGCCACACTTACAAGCATGGATAAGGGGCCGGCCATGCACAATTCATGTGGACACGGAAGCGTCTGTTTCCATTACTGACCTCCCCCTCCCCACTACTAAACAGTATATTACTATTTCAGAGGTGGGAGGTGCACAACTCATGGCTTACAAAAGCTACCCTGTTCTTGTAAAATCTAATCTAGTCCCCTGGACTCAGTCTTTTTGTTAATGTAGCTCCAAATGGAGAGGGGACTATTTTGGGCATGGATACCCTCTGCGACCTTGCAGCAATTCTTAACCTCGCTCAGAGTACAGTTACATTTACTGATAAACTTATGCGTGCTCATACCATCCCCCTCCGCAATGATACATCCCGCTCTTCTGTTGCCAAATCTGTGGCTCTTACTTGGGATACATCTAATCCTTTTCAAGAATTATGTTCCAGGTTCCCCTCTGTTTGGGCAGAAAATAAGCTGTCTTGCAGTTCAATGCCTGCTCATCTTTGCCCACCCATCCAGGTTACCAATCAACTCCCTCCATCTACCGAGCAATACCCTCTCAAACCTGAGGCTGTGGATGCAGTAGGTAATATTATTTACTCTTTACTTCAGCAAGGCATACTGGTTCCTTGTGGAAGTGCACCCTCTTAAGTCCACGACTCTCTAGAGATCCCCTCTTGAGCGGACATACAGGAGGGAGATCAGGTCATGGTAAGAACATACAATCCCGCGGTACTTCAGCCAAAATACTCTGGCCCACACATGGTATTGGCCCACACAAATACCCCTGTGAAAGTGCAAGGAATTCCAACATGGGTCCATTAAAACCAGAATTAAAATGTATAAATAAATTCATTTTGTTTATATTGTATCCGTTTAGGTAACAAATGTGACTCCCTACGTTAATCCTCCTGGCATACATACTTGATGCAGCCTCCTGGGACCTGCCCTTGGTACATGTTATACAAGATACCTGTTTCAAAACTGGCCAGTATGTGCAACTCCCTACAAAAGACAGCGGTGAATGGGTAAAAAAAAAAGAGACACTTGGCTTACCCCCAGACCGAACCACCTAGGACCTATTGTGGTTACAGCTCCCCTTCAAAAACATCCAGGCTCCAAAGTCTCAATCCACTACCGCAGCCCAGGAGCAGTCTTCAGCTCCCTCCCTGCAACTCACCAAATCTGGACTGTAACTGGGTATTTAGCTTCAGGGGATGTGGGCACACACACCTAGGACCCCCAATTTCAGGATGCAAGGTCATACAATTCTTGGGTCAAAGGCCAAACCACCCAAGCCCTTAAGCATACCAACACCAGGTTATTTTATGCTCTGACTGCAATTGATGTAACGATAGAGGATTTTTACAAAATCATTGAGAAAACCTCAGATGCTATAGTCAACCTGGCCAAGTCACAAGCTAAAGGTCATGCTGGTGATATGCTGGCTCGTAATCTGTTTAACATTGCAAAAGAAAACATATTAGATGTATGCCTGGGTTTTCCCCCATCCCATACCCTTTCCTCCCACACCCTTGCCCACATTGCAGGCATCTCTACACAACTAATAGTAGCCTCTCTACTTCCTCCAGACTCACCCTCCTCCTTCAATTTCCTTCTTGTGTATCCTTCTGTCATTCCTACTCATATGTTTCCTTCTTCTTCCCGTTTTAAGTCTATTGAATATGCGGCTAATAATATGGTGTACAAAGTATGGCTGTCTGGATACCTGGCACCATCCCCTGACAATGCTACACTGATGACAACCTCGGACTGTTGCACAGAAACACACAATTACATCGTGTGCTCCTGTTCTACCCTTCACCCTTTGACCTAGTCCTCTTCTGTTCTTGTGGATGTCCTTCCTTTTGCAGACAGTGAAGTTGCTGTACAAGTATCCACTACCCAGTGGTGTTTCATCACCATTGCATCTTATTGCATGTATGGACCATTACAGTGCCAAGCAAATGCTTCCATGTGCCTACAGATTACTGACTCATTTACCCTAGGTGATGTGCACCTCCCCTGCCGTGTGTTCACTGGAATGACAACAGCTCCTCGGTGGTACAACAATCTACACCTGGACAATACACCAGTTCAACTGGCCAAGGAGCTACTTCTTAAAGTGGTCCTGGCTGCTGCGTCTACCACCGTTCATAACCACATCACCAAAGGTTGCATTCAAGTCCAGCTCTCCAATCAAACCCTCACCCAACTGGAAGATTCTGCTCATAATGCATCGTACATCCCCATCTTCTGGTGGACAATTGTCCAAACAGCAGCTGCCACTGCTTCTATATTTGTGTTAATAACCTCTCTTGTCATGTGTGGGTACTTTAAACACGGTTAAAAATCTTATTATATTTCCTACCTTTACCCCCTTCCCCCAATTCCCCTCTCCCTCCCCCTTTCCTCGGACAACCCTAAAACAGATCATGTATATCAAAGTATTTAAAGTATTGACTTTATACTCACTTAAAAGTTCAATTTAACTCAGGAAAGTGTTAAAATTTAGCTAACAGCTAAGACAGAAACCGCAGACCAAGCAGGAATGTTTCAGTAACTCAAAAGGCACTGACAACTGTAAACAACCGATAAGCTTATATGGTCAATGCCTGCCCAGTAACTCAGTTCTTAGAACAGGACAAACCCTCCCTTCACAGCCCACTGGATATCTGTAAGCACTCATCCCTACCCTACCTATCCCGCCTCCTTCCCCCGCAAGGTAGCCATAGATGCTTGATGCATTAGGATGACCTCTATACATACATACTGTTCTTATTTTTATCTTTGTTTAGGATTCTCTCTTGATTTGTAACAATGTTTGCCTCTGTACGTACAGATAAATGCAAATGAATGGATAAGAGAATGTATATAACCTACCACTATGGTACCATATTTTTGAAGCTGCTTGTCAGTCTTCCCAGTACTGTGAATAAACTCCCTTCAGTATTGTCTGTGTCTGCCTGATTCTTGGGGGAAAGAACTCTTTAACCTAACACTAGGCATGGAGTGTTCATTTAGATCAAAACATTGTTGCACTCTCAGTTATTCCAATTTTCTATTTGCATGTAAACAACGTTCCATACTTTACATAGGACTGCCCATCGAATGCTACGAAAATGCTTTACAAACACAAATGCAGCTCACAACAGCCTTATGGAGGTAGATAGAGCTTCCGGTCACCACTGTACACATGCAGAAACAGAATAACAAGGTCATATTAGAAGTCTGCGGCAGAGCCCATCACAATGCAGAGCCACCAAGTCACAGTCCTCTTCCTTTTCCCCTCAGACCGTGTATGTGGTGGTGTTATTTAATTCTTGCAGCACTGCCAAGAGAATATTCATTAAAAACTATTATGATAGCAAGCAATTATTAAATTGCTGAATGCTATTAGGGACCGAGACCTCACAAACCCTTACTCACAGGTGTACTCTACTCACTCAAGATTTCCCATTAAAGTCAATGGTACTACTAATATAAGCAGAGGGTTTGCAGGATCATACTCACATTGATCTGGTGAATGTAGGGAAGATTGAATACCCAATTATTTTAAGTTTGGAACTTAATTCCACAGCCATGGTGCAAATCAACACTTAGGATCCTTAAAACCCCATGCATGCCTGTGCTCTGATCTAAGCGGACATATGGAGGATGTGGTGCCCGAGATTCAAAAAAACTGCTTAAAAATAAATAAGCAAGACATAAAACTTGGGAAAAAATATTTGGCAAGTTATTAGGCTGTCAGCTTGTTGACCTAGAGACATTCTTTTAAGTGAAAGCAAAGAGGGCTAATACCCTGGTGCATTCCTGCAGAAACGGTAGTGGTTGAAAGCTACCACTAAAACCAGGACATCAAAAGGGTGGCCACATGACCCCACCCCCTCCTCCTAGATATGTTTTTGCACAGGAAGTGCTGGCAGCCATTTTGAAAGCTCCAGATATTCGGTGGAACTACCAGCAAGCCAGTAGTGGTAGTAGGCAGCTGATGGTTGGACATGAAAGAGGGTGACATACCCTCCTGTTTTAGTCACACAAAACCATTTGAATAATCATGTTAATTAACTCCTTTATGTGCCTCCTATGAGGCTACCCATGCCTATGAAAACTCATGTGAATCTAACTAAAACTGAAAAATTTGACATCCATACTTTAACATATTCCCCCTGAATTTACACTGAGATAGTAGTCAACTCCAAAGAAGTCCCAACAGTTTCCATGCTAAGAGTGTAACGTAGTCCCATGGACATGGGAAAGTTCTCCATATACTTTCTTCTAAATATTGCAGTAGTTGTTTTGAAGCAGCTGATTAGGTCAAACGCTTGATGTGACAATGCTAGCATAATAAAGCCTTCTCTCATAAATAATGAGAATTCACATACAAAAGCCACTTTAAACAAAAGTTAAGGATTCAGAGTTATGGAAATCTACAGCAATGAACCAAGCCTCCAATACCTACTTCACAAACAGTGAGGCTCCATTTCAAAATTATATATTTTGGTTCTGTTATTTACAGTTATCTATAGAAGGTTTGAGCCTTAACTATAAATGTTGACTCCTTTGGTTAATTTTGTGTAACATCAACATTGCTGTAATACAACTCACAACATAAATATATGTAATTCCACATCTATTCCAATTGTGTATTTATTTTATTTAAATACACACACACATTTCAACCCCTGTGAGCAAACATTAAGCAGAGACAGTGCTACAGTAAAGTTGTATATCACAACAAATTAATAGTACATTTTCCAGTCATATGATCAGATCAGGAACAAGGGTTTAATATGGCACAGAGAAATGGAACTCTACCAGCGTATGATAAAAATGAAAGTACAAGAACCAGATCACGATAGAAAGCAAGACTGTTGAATCTCAATTTTTAAATTGCCCTATTAAAATAATACTATTGTGACCAGAATGAGTAGAATAGCGGTGCCTGGATTTTACTGTGTGTTCTGTACATATTGTAAGAGAAATCTCACATTGCTGGGTTAGATTTAAACTAACAATCCAGAATTTGGACTGAATTAGATCAAGCCCTGTGTACTGCTGCTGATAGCATGTGTTCATATTTCACTATTCTATTTATTTCAATACAGAGTATTGTTTGCTACACAGCAACTCAGTATAGTATTTTTCAGTACTCGTGAAGGCAGTGCTTACATATAGGCCATTGATGTTTATATCTGGGCTGCCGGCCAGGAGCTAGGTATATATGGGTTGAACAATGAATTTGGATTATGGAATATTTATTGGTTGTCTATTTTATCTCTTTCATACCAAAGAGAGAGGCTTTCATCTGTTACATGGTACAATACTGTTTTCTTCACTTGAGAGGATTATTTCCTTAGCAGTTTTTTCCTTACCCACCCAGGCATTTCTGGTTTTGATGTTTTTTAAATATACAAATACACCTATTTGCTAATAGAATACAAATATTCCTGTGTATTCTTGACATCCCATGTTCTACTAATATTGTTAGAATATTTGCCTGCATTTAAATGTCAGGATGAAGTCACCTCACATAATCTCTCCTTGCCGACTGTGTGTTGCCAACTTCTCTTTTTGTCTGCATAATTCTCTCTTGCAAAGATCATTTTGCAAACTAGTGTTTTTAAGAATACCACAGACAAATACAGCTCTCCTATGGCATTATGAATAAATGAAGCTGGTGGTGGGTGAATAGCAAGGGAAGTGAGATGCTAAAAAGAAGAAGAGTGAAGTAATGAAGGAAAGCAGACTTCGACTCCCTCAGGGAACAGATGGGTAGGATCCCCTGGGGGACTAACATGAAGGGGAAAGGAGTCCAGGAGAGCTGGCTGTATTTCAAGGAATCCCTGTTGAGGATACAGGGACAAACCATCCCGATGCATCGAAAGAATAGTAAATATGGCAGGCGACCAGCTTGGCTTAACGGTGAAATCCTAGAGGATCTTAAACATAAAAAAGAAGCTTACAAGAAGTGGAAGCTTGGACATATGACCAGGGAAGAGTATAAAAATATTGCTTGGGCATGTAGGAATGAAATCAGGAGGGCCAAATTGCACCTGGAGCTGCAGCTAGCGAGAGATGTTAAGAGTAACAAGAAGGGTTTCTTCAGGTATGTTGGCAACAAGAAGAAAGCCAAGGAAAGTGTGGGCCCCTTAATGAATGAGGGAGGCAACCTAGTGACAGAGGATGTGGAAAAAGCTAATGTACTCAATGCTTTTTTTGCCTCTGTCTTCACTAAGAAGGTCAGCTCCCAGACTGCTGCGCTGGGCATCACAACATGGGGAATAGATGGCCAGCCCTCTGTGGAGAAAGAGGTGGTTAGGGACTATTTAGAAAAGCTGGACGTGCACAAGTCCATGGGGCCGGACGAGTTGCATCCGAGAGTGCTAAAGGAACTGGTGGCTGTGATTGCAGAGGCATTGGCCATTATCTTTGAAAACTCGTGGCGAACGGGGGAAGTCCCGAATGACTGGAAAAAGGCTAATGTTGTGCCAATCTTTAAAAAAGGGAAGAAGGAGGATCCTGGGAACTACAGGCCAGTCAGCCTCACTTCAGTCCCCGGAAAAATCATGGAGCAGGTCCTCAAAGAATCAATCCTGAAGCACTCACATGAGAGAAAAGTGATCAGGAACAGTCAGGATGGATTCACCAAAGGAAGGTCATGCCTGACTAATCTAATCGCCTTCTATGATGAGATTACTGGTTCTGTGGATGAAGGGGAAGCAGTGGATGTATTGTTTCTTGACTTTAGCAAAGCTTTTGACACGGTCTCCCACAGTATTCTTGTCAGCAAGTTAAAGAAGTACGGGCTGGATGAATGCACTATAAGATGGGTAGAAAGTTGGCTAGATTGTCAGGCTGAACGGGTAGTGATCAATGGCTCCATGTCTAGTTGGCAGCCGGTGTCAAGCGCAGTGCCCCAGGGGTCGGTCCTGGGGCCAGTTTTGTTCAATATCTTCATAAATGATCTGGAGGATGGTGTGGATTGCACTCTCAGCAAATTTGCGGATGATACTAAACTGGGAGGAGTGGTAGATAAGCTGGAGGGCAGGGATAGGATACAGAGGGACCTAGACAAATTGGAGGATTGGGCCAAAAGAAATCTGATGAGGTTCAATAAGGATAAGTGCAGGGTCCTGCACTCAGGACGGAAGAACCCAATGCACAGCTACAGAGTAGGGGCCGAATGGCTAGGAAGCAGTTCTGCGGAAAAGGACCTAGGGGTGACAGTGGATGAGAAGCTGGATATGAGTCAGCAGTGTGCCATTGTTGCCAAGAAGGCCAATGGCATTTTGGGATGTATAAGTAGGGGCATAGCGAACAGATCGAGGGACGTGATCGTCCCCCTTTATTCGACATTGGTGAGGCTTCGTCTGGAGTACTGTGTCCAGTTTTGGGCCCCACACTACAAGAAGGATGTGGATAAATTGGAAAGAGTCCAGCAAAGGGCAACAAAAATGATTAGGGGTCTGGAACACATGACTTATGAGGAGAGGCTGAGGGAACTGGGATTGTTTAGTCTGCAGAAGAGAAGAATGAGGGGGGATT